CGATTCTGTGATTCTGTCATCTTGTTTGTTCTGAGTCTGGCTCTTAGTAGCTTCATTTGAAGCCTCCTAGTTCTTATACAGGAAGAGAGAGCATCGATCCCTGTCCAGCATCTTCATGCTGTTTATGAATTTGCAGGTTTCTTATCATATCCCCCATAAATAATCTCTTTTTCATCCGAAAAGACCCATCCTATTTCATCATTCCATATATGAAAACAAGTATGAACAGAATGAACCTTTGATCATTCTTTTTTCTCTTCTCTTTCCATATTAAAAGCTTCTTTTTTCAGAGGAAGGAATCAGAACTGCATATGCTGCTATAATTATATTCTATTTTGTTTTCTATTCCTTTTGTAATAAATCCTGACACTTGAAACATTTGATTTACCGTTTCATTGCTGCCATGTCCGGAGCCGATGTGTCACAGGAAGGGGTGAATAATGAGACACGAGGACGGAGATGCCACCTCAATCTGTGGCACTGAAAGTGTGAATGCAGTAGTTTGTTCAGCCGTGCTGTTCATGGCTTTCCGTGGTTTCTGTTCCATAAAGGATGTTTTCTTAGCCTTTGTGAAAGTTGCTTCTAGCAGTCGTCAGCTTTAATAAGGCCTACAATTACTTGTAGCTGACAGCTTTGCTTGATGTCAGCCATTGGCACTCATTTGCATGTAGCATCATCAGGAAATTTTGCTGTGTTGCTGCTGGATTATAGAATGGGATTTATGGGAAGACAAACCTCCATTTCGCTCTCTAAGCCACGCAACTTTTTCTCTTCCCATACGAAGTGTCTAAAGTGAGAAAGCCTATTTCTGTGAAGATAATGGACAACATCTTTTTGTAAATGTAGCTGAAAAATGAAAGGGCCAGAGTATGTCTATAGCCACGGCTGACATTGTATCAAGTACTGAACGTTATACCTACCTTTATGCTTATTAGGAGCAGTACTGCTAGCAATCCAGCTATGGCAGTTGGGACTCAGTAAAAATTACTAGTATTGTTTTCTCAGAAGCAAAGTCAATATCTTCCCATTTTGGGGCTGTCTTGTTGACTGGAAAGGTTGCTTTGTGGACTAGACGGCTTCCTGGGCCCCCTGCGACACCCATGTTGTCTGGTTCCAGAACTGTCACCAGTTCCTGAACTGGTTCCTAACACGAGCCTAGAATTGCAGCACTGGAGTCAAATTACTGAATTTCAGTGGAATTGGGATGCTCTTGAAAGTTGTATAAAAAATTTCTGAAGTCAGCACTTCAAAGATGAGAAGCTGATTCTTGTTCCTGTGTCTAAAAACTACTTACTTAGCCTTCAGAGCTGGTTGGTGGCCTGTGAGGTTAGCTCAAGTCACCATTCAAATCTTGGGGAAGTGTATCACTGCAACAATTTTTGTTTTTAAGGTAGCATTTGTAATTTATGTGATAACAAAGTGGGAATGATAATTTTTACTACCAGTTCTGCCTGTTTATCTTTGAAAGACAGCTCTAGTTTTAGGAATTGAATGTCATGGAATTTATTCCAATGAAGAATTCAGAGCTTCACTTGAGCAATATTTGCTTTAAATCAAGGTTTCCCTTTTGGATCAGTAGAAGTTCCTGTTTTCAGACAAGCTTCTCTGCTCAGGTTTCACACACTTGCTGTGGCCTTTCTTCTTCACACAGTTTTGGAAAACATGCATACTTACATGAGGACCACCATGTGCTTTTTCATGTTACTCAGTGAGTTCCACATCAATATGCCATTTCAGCCAAAATAAGCTGGGCTGGCATGCATCCAGCTGTTTGAGCTAACCTAGGACGTTTTGACTCAAGGGACGTTCACTTGAACAACATAGTTGAAGGTTTTGGTGGGAGCAAATGAAGGTGGTAACCTCTTCAGTTTGCAGAGCTGAAAATGGGAAAGTTCAAGTGTCTATGGCCTCATATTACTATTTCTGTTTTCGGGATTCCACACCCTGCTCCTCTTCTGCTCCTATTAAATTTTCTGTTAACACACACTGTTCTCAAATATAAATATTATTATAAAGGGATAAACTTTGAATTTTCTATAACTTAATACTTTTCTTACTTTGTTTGGTCTCCCTATCTTACCTTGTGAATGATTGTTATTTTGTTTAGTGTATTTGTTCAAACTCTAGGTGAAAAAATATTGGGCTGAGAAACAACTCAAGCAGCAAGAACAGGAAGAGAAATATATAGAGCGTATGGAAGAATTAAGAAAATTAATGGCTGAACAAGCAATTAAAGGCAGAGAAAGGTAAAGGAAAATAAATGTGAATAACTATAGCATCAATAGGAGCTTTTTGTAATCTGATTTGTTCTGATCTCCCAACCTTCCAATTAGAATAAATGGAGATAAGTAATTTTTTTTTCTTCCTGTTTGGCAGTTATGCCAGTCCGTATTATGATTGCATCATAATTGTATCCTAGAACAGTTTATTTATTAGTTTGAATTAAATCATATTAATCAGAGTGTTAGACCTATGTAAACCATAAACTGTTGCAATCATAATAAGGTGCACACACTAAAACCAGCTCTCTCCATGGTGTTTTCATTCTAGTTGAGTAATAAGACCTTTTACCTTCCCTTTTAGCAAAATTATTTGTAGTCAGGTTTGATTTGAGAGAGAGGTGAGAGGAGCTCATTGAGCACTTACAGTCAAAGATATCTAATACTCTTTCAGAGAGTCTTAAATTATACCTCCAAATTTTGAGACATTCAGACTATCGAGTATTCAGAGCTAAGTCCTGTTAACAGTTGTTGCATTTCATTTGCATTATGACTCCTCATGATTGTTGTTATCATATATGATATGTGGTATGATATGATTACTATACCAGTGTTTCAGCAGTGTTTCTGGGTTTTTTTGTCCAGCAGCATTATTGTAGAATTTTAACACATGCCAATGAGAACATCTTCAAGATGATTTCCTTACCCTTTAGAACCAATAAGTTTCAAAGTGTGAAAGTAAAATGCAAATGTGTATTGTAATGCATTAGTTTGATGCTGCAGATGCTGTTGACTCATTTGATATCATTTAGGACTTCAACCTATTCCCATTTGAATCCTTGCCAAGTGTTCCTTGCAGGGTATGATGGCCTTTAATGACCTGCTGAAAAAACAGCTGACTTCATAGAGGAATATAGTTTTCCTCTGTCACGTAGAGGAACAAAAGAACAACTGTGTATGTAGTCTGGCTATAGTTGCTCTCCCTATAAAGTCAAATCACAGATTTACTGTTTCAGCATAGAGGGATCCACCAAATTGCTTGGGCCAAAATGTAATCAAAATAGGGGTAAAGTACCATTAGCATTAAAACACTAAACTTGATCTTAATCATTCTGTGGGAAACACTACTTGGATCTCATTTTGTTATGACACCTTGCTGACAGCTAAAACTTAAACGTCTGTGTCCTTATGTTATAAATATATGTATGGCTTTCCTTAAACATACCTGCAATGATTTCAGCTCAGTTCATCTCTTCATAAACATTGCCTGAAGCTGAAAGGGCAAGATCTGTTTATGTTTTTCAGCAGTAATTAAGCTGTTGTTCAGGTTGCTGGTTTCAAGTGCTTTTCAAATACTCTGAATATTGATACTGAGTAAAGATATTTTCTTGAAAAATTAAGATTCTAAAATATTATGAATGATATGAATCTTGGACTACTGCCATTCAGTGCTTTTGGATTAAGCTCTATCTAAATAGCCGGTATAATCACATTTAGTAACCATTACTGAGTGGAATTGTAGTCGAAACAAAGCAGCAGCTTGTGCAGAAGAAACCAAAACAGAGTTTTAATTAGGAAACATCTTCATATGCCAGACAGAATGTCATTCTGATAAGCTTTAGCTGCTCTCAAACTTCTTTAGAGCCGTTAGATATGGTTGCTTTACCTTTGTAAATAGGGCATTTAATCTTGTCAGTTGAGAGACTGATTGATGTCATTCCACTTTTTCTTTTTCTCTGTTTCCTGCTATATGTAAATAATCTTGGAATTCATCTTTCTAATTCTTCCATTTTTATTCCAGTTTTATCCCCTGAACTCTTCCATTGAAAGAGGTTTCTTTATCTTTCATTTTTTATTTAAACTGGGACTAAAGTTTTGAGGTTTTTTTAATTTTGAGGTTTTTTCCATTTTTTTTAGCAAGTTATATTTTTTGTCCTATAAAGCCTCTATCATTAACTATATTGAAGCTTCAGGGCAAATTATATTCACTGATCTGTTCTTAAGTTCCCTTTCATTTAGTAACTTCTGTGGTCAGTTGTTAGTTCTGCTTAAAAGATAAACTTTTCACAGTAGATCTAAACTGTCATCAAAGGCATGCATCTCCTTAGCCTTATGATTTGTTGAAACAAGGTCATCACCTTGCAAACGTATGAAAAACTGAGATGAAACTCCAGTGAGTATAATGTTGATGCATATAGTTATTGTCCTCTTTATTTCTGTTTTAAAATTTCAGTTGCCAAAGGCTGATGCTGGTAAGGCGCTACCAGCAGACTCAGTACTCACGATAAATCAGAATAGGTTCTTAAATGTGTTTGGTGCCCCATATTTCACACCCATACTTGAACATTTTGAACTCCGTATGTTCCTGGCCCTAGGAAAATGGGAATCAATTCATTTACAGGTGTTTTTAAGCATCATTTTAGGTTTGCAGAACATTTTGAAAAGGTGGGTGTGAGGATTGTACCTGTGAAAATACATTGTTGTTATTCAAAGTGTTGATTTGTAGTCATGTGCATTATAGATTGTTCCATAAAAGTTGTACTGAAATAATGTTCACTTTAGTAAGAATAATTCTGCTCAGTTTGATTCTGTCTTATTATTATACATTTAATTAAAATATAAAGGAACAAAATGCAGTCCTTCTGTGTGTAAGCCCATACAAAAGCTAGGCGAGGCATACTACTGAACTGCTTTCTCTTTAAGTCCTTCATGATCAGGATCCACACTTCCTAGTTTCACGTTAGTTGACAATAAGCCTTCAGAGCTGCCAAAAACTACTCTTCTGGTATGCCATATTCTAAGAGTTGAAGAGAGTAGCCAGTGGACTTATGTTCTCCCTGCCGCCCCCCCCCACAGAAGGAAAAAGAAAAAAAAAAAAAAAAAAAAAAAAGGTGGCTGTACGCTATTAAAATATCACTAAAAATGGGCTGTTCTTATTTGGGTCATATGTGTTCACAACACAGCCAAATTCCACTGGAAAGATTGTGGAAGATGGCCATAAAAATGACAAGATCTGCTCTTTGGATTTATGGGCAAGCTTCCGTAGCAGAAGAAGCACACACACGTACATAAATGACTGAGCTTTCAGCAGAACTGATCAGGAAAAAATGACTTTCTTTAAGCCTGCGTACTGCACTGTGCCATTCAGTTGGGGAGCGTTCTTTTCTCGTGGTAAGGAATGTTATAGAATGAAGTATAGAGAAATGGCACAGCTCACTGAGGAATGCAGTAAGGAATACTCGCACCTCCAGGCTATTATGAGTCAAAAGTCAGTAAGTGCTTAGCGTTATGTTTCCCAGAATTGGCATACTGTACAAAATAAAACAGTGTAAAAAAAATGCTTACTGTTTGTGGAGATTAGTAATTCTTTGAGATTACTTAGTGCTTTTCATCTTCAAAGCCTTCAAAACATTAATCCAAGAAGGGCAGAGGGATGTTACTGTTATTAGGTACTGTAGTGCCACAAGTACAGTATGTGGCATTTTAGAAAATGTATTGCACTAAACTTAGGTAGACACACCGGCATAATGATTGCATGGTGCGGAACTGCAGTCCTACAGAAACTGACTGCATTCGTACATGTTTAACCTGTTACAGCACCCAGATCGTTCTGGAGCCTTTGCAGAGCTGAGCATAAAAGACAAGAACAGGCCAGTATTACAGTTCTGATCTGAAACATTGTCAGGGTTTTTTGGGGATGGAAAAGATTTTTGGATGCAGGAGCTGACTGACTGTTCCAAGAACAAGATATGGCCTGGAAAGTACATAGAAACTGGGACAGGTCCAATAAGATAGTAGAAAAATGGTCTCGTGTTATCCTGAATTGCTTCTAAATTGAAGATAAAATCAAGCAATCAGGTTTTTAAAAAAACCTCATTATTACAGAGTCACTCTGGAGCTCTATTTATTCAGGTCTCCCTTGGTAATTGCAAGACACCAGATAACCGGAGTTATGACCAGATCAAAGCAAAGAATTAAAGGCACCTGAAACTGGATGGCAATGAATTTAAAGTGATTAAGTCCAAATTTGTGATCTACAACTCCTCTCCTTAAAAGCTGTCTAACAGTAGAGACATTTAACTAATGTTGGACCATTTCATTTTTTGGCCTGGAAGTTCCTGGGTAGCTGCAGTTTTCTGTTGCGTGCATGCTCAAATTATGCTCTTCTGAGCAGCTGGCACTCAGCACTTGCCTAAACCCCGTGGGTTTAAGTTTATATTAGTTCCCTTTGGTCTTGATCAAGTAAAAGAGGCTGAGAGTACTGAGTTCAGCACAAATCTTGATAGGCAATGCTACCTGCCTTCAGAAACATGGGAGAGGGGAAAGGAGCAAAGAATTGCCTGGACACCCAGCCCGTGCTCCACCCAATGCTCCACTGTGGGGGGAACCAGAGCAGAAAGAATCTGGAAAAACTATGCAAAAAAAGCTGGATGTTGGGGCTGTTCAGTCAGGCAGGCAAGTGGGAGGGTGTTAGCGGAGTCGAGTGCTTGCAGAAGTTTTGCTTCAAGCTTGTGCTAGAAACCTTCTCCTGCAGGTGCAAGCCATGCTGAGGAGCGTCTTAGGGCTCAGGTCCCGCTTAGGCTGCACCTAGGCGCAACCACAGCTCTTTGACTTCATTTGCAGTTTAAACTAGCAAAGAATCTGCCCGTCAGTGTGTGCCTTGGGAACTGGCGGCTACTTCTGAAAAGTTTGAACTAGTGCGTAAAGCACTTCATATCCCAGCTACCTAGTGCCTTGGCAGCATTGTGCATCCATTCAGTACTTCACAGGTGGAAACAGAAGCAGATCTTAGCCTCCGTGATGTGATCTAATCTCTGGATAATGCTTTCTGCTGTTTACATGAGATATATATTCAACTGACAACAGTGAACAGGATAAGTGGTGATCTAAGGCAAGAATGCCATCTTTATTATAACTGTATTTTTTCTAAGTTCCACTAAATTGTCATAATAAATGTGGTAGCTCATTTTTTCCTATTGGATATTTATGAGACAGTATCTGAAAGGAGAGTTTTAGTGAAATTATGCTTATCAAAAATTACATTAGTGTGTACCCGTAATACTTCAGAAGGTAGCTGTACTGAAACTAATCAGCTAAGCTCATTTTTCAGCTGGTGATTTATTACAATTATTACTTACTGTTGTACTGAAGGTCAAATATGAGTATTCAAACATTTTATTGTAAGTTTCTATAAAATTTACTTTCAAGAAAATTTATGTTGAAGAAGTAGTAGCTAAAATATTAGTAAATATAGTGTAGTTAAAAAGGTAAACTATATTTAGATGAGACACTGTGAAATCAAAGCTCAAGTAAACATTTAAAATCAAATATAAAAAAATTAGAAGGGTTTTCTAAACTAGAAGTACGTTATATAACTGAAAATGTATTTACAAGGCTTCCTGCCTTACCTAAACGTAGATTTCATAGCTCTGCCGTTGCCCTCTGACCATGAAACTTAAAATTTTTATTAGTACTGGCCTTGGCATCTATAGCATGAACAAGAAGATGATCAACTTGGGAAAGTACAGTCATGAAAACACGATCCTTCTCCTTTTCAGGAGCAACAAATGCTACTTCAAGATGCTCAGTCCTTGTTCTATCCTTGTGTGACTGTCTGTGACTTTGGTAATCATTTGCACCTGTTCAGACTGGGTAGGGAAATATAATAAAATGTTTCCATTTGGATTTTGCAATGTTGTACACTCCTTCTATGTGTATAAAAACGTCTGCAGTAGAGACAAAGCATTTGAGATTAGATCTGGATGTGTGGCCCTCAGTTTTCTTTCTTGGTAATTTATAAAAGTTCCCAGGGCATTGGATTTCATATTTGATAACACTGGATTATTTTAGAAAAAATATTATAGTGCAGTCAGCTCAAGCAGAGTGAAAGGTTTTCAATATAATACAAATTTCATTTGCCATTTTTTAGGAAAAAGGAACATTGCTACTTTTTATTAAATTCTCTTCATATAAAAAGCAGATTAGGCTCTCTCCCTGGAACAAAATTACCGCTGAACATTATTGATGTAAGCATTCATCTGCCTAAATGGCAATGGCAACGATAACAAACTGAAAGCATCTCTTGGGCATCCTTGGGCAGCGTTGTACCACCCTCTTGAGACAGACTTGTCCTGATAATTGTTATTGGGTTATTGATGCAGTGGTCTGTTATAGCTACCGAGATAACTGTACATTTAGTCCTAATTTTTGCAATTTATAGTAAAGTCATATATTCCTTTGAGCTTACTACAATTCTGCAAATAGTAAAATAAAAATACCCAAGTTTTACTGCAGTTGAAGCAGCTCTTCCTTCTCCATTTCTCTAAAGGCAAGTTAAAGTTTGAAGGAGGAAAGGAGGATAATTCTCTGAATACAGAGCGTGGCAATGGCTAATACTATGTAAGAACTAACGGTGACCTACCAAAGCATAGCCTACAGCTTCATAAGAAACTGAGTTTGGCGGTGGATTGAGGCTTAGTAGGAAATACAGTGACGGCAGTAATTTGGGAAGTATAAAAACCTACTGCAAAAAGTTGACCAGCAAAGATAATGCTGGAGAAAGTACATGTTCCAGTAGAAAGTACATGTTGTGCAACCCCCCTATTTTCCTTTCTGAGGAAGGATATGATTTTCAAGTTTTCCTTGCTTTTTCCAATAACAAGATTGGGAGTGATTTATTTCTTTTTAAAGGAAAAGGTTATAGGGCTGAGTTTTGCTGCCATTCACAGATGTCAGAGAACATTTCTTCTTGGCCAAGAAAATGGGGAAAAAAAAAGAGTAACAGGGCTATAAATAATGCTAGAGGAAAGCTGGTCTCTGGAAATGAAGTCTGAAAGGTGAGCCAACTTGTAAAAAATATTAATTAAAAAAAGCATTCATTAAATTTTTCAGGTGTTTTGATGAAACATCCAGTTACTTAAGTGGATACAGAAAACATGAGACTAGTTTTTAAACTGAAACTTGATAATGGAAATTTAAAATAAAACTTGAGCAATGTTTTTTTACATTTGTGTGTACACTGTTGTGCAGGGTAAAGTTTAGACAAGCATTGTTAGAAAAGCGATTGCTGGAGAAAAAGGAACTGGCCCTTCAAGAAACACATGAAGCAGAAGAAAGAGAGAAGTGCCTTGAAGCACTCCGACAACAGGTGTGTTTATTTCCTGTATATAGTATTTTCATATACAGTAAAGATACGAACATACACTGTCATATTGCATGAAAGATAAAAAGAACAATCTATCAAAAGCCAATAAAAGAAGAAGTTAAAATGCAGTTTACGTCTGACATTAACATTAATTCTGTCACGTTACAAATCTTGTGTGCATTGTAATTTTGACAAGAAGAACATTAAGATGTTAAATTGCACTGCAGAAGCTGTTGATATTTGAAAAGGGATATTAATTTCTCTGGGTTGAGTCTGTTTTCTCTTTTTCTTTCTTTTTTTTAATCTTAAGTCTGCATTAAGTCTCAGTCAAGATTTATGAGTAGTTTAAATACTTCTTAAATTCTGAAAACTTACAGACCTTGGACTACAAGTCTTCAGGGAGATAAATTTAACTCTCTGTGAAACTTCTGCACCTGATTTTAAAAAGGACATCTCACAAAAAGCTTGCTAATGTTTGCCAACTTAAATGTATTCTGTTAAATTTTTTCTCTTACTGACTTTTGAAGTAGTAACGTTGCCTTAATATGTATTTTTGTATCTAATCTGCTTATTTTTTCCTCCAAAGAGTACAAGGAAAAATCTGGAATTCAAATTATTTGCACTCCAGGAAGTGCAGCCAAAAGGTACAGCCAAAGGAAAATAAGGGAGAGAGAAAAGGTGCTTTCTAACACCTTTTGATTTTGAATAATTTAAACACTACTAATGTGGCAGCTTTCTCCTCTGGATTACCTATAGTTAAAAATACAGTGTTTGATGCAGCCTTGACCTCACCTCCAGCCTGTCCTTGGGCTTGGGATTAGCCAGCCCAGCGCAGTGCGTGTGAAGTTCTTCCGTAATCCCCTGTGGACTGTTTGTGGCCTTGTAAGTGCTTTCACGTCAGCATTTGGGTTTTACAAAATCAAGAAGAAAGAAGAACATAAGAGGTCAATCTTTTGTGGGAGAGCAAGCGGAATAGGAATGAATAAACCTCAGGGATCTTTTGGCTGCTATTTCAGTCTTTTTTTTAAGCACTTGAACTCAAGCTCATTTCCAGTAAATAATAATTTATTTTTAAAAATCTGATTCAGTTAAATATTTTGTTGTAATAACAGTATTGATTTTAGATTGTCAATGTGTTATTAAGAAGAATTCTATTAGGTCTTTTCAAAGTTATTGGTTCAATTGCATTGGCTTTGGTGTCATATTTTATGAGTGGCAGTAATGCTGGTTGAGAGCCATAAACTGTTCATCTCTACTGACCAATCCAATTCTCTTATCAAGGTAAAAATGCTTCTGGAATTGCCTTTGACCAGAATGGTAGAGCTTCTGCTTCATTATTTTTCCAACCAATATTTATTATCTGTGTTTCATACTGATGAAATACTGCTGTATGGAACATACCCCTTAAGTTTTCTGCGGGAAAAAATAAGATCTTTAGAAAAGTTATCCAGTTTGTATATTCTGACACCCTGTAAATACAAAGATAACATTTTTAAAAAGAGGGAAGGAAAAAAAGTAATTATCAGAGACAACTCTAATTTTTTTTGTTAATAGCTTTTCAATTGGTGTGTCCTGACTTTGATTATTTTCCTCATGAATCTTGCTGTATTTTGCAAAGTAGTATTAACCTATGTCTATATATTTTAACACAAAGAAACTATGCCATGAAAAAAGCATCTAAAACCTGCAGACTCCAAACCATGACTCATGCACAACATAGTGTCTGAGAGAATCTGTGCTATGGATCTAGCCCCAGGAAATTAAACAGTTAAAACAGATACACTTAAACAAACAAAAAAAAAGAAGGTATGATGTTATTTGTGACATATTACTCACTGTTGTTACCCGTGATTCGGTAAAAATTGTGAACTACTCATCTGAGAACCTTTATTTCCATCGGTAGAAAAAGAAGGAAGACTGGACTTCCAGGAATGTAGGTATTGCTCGATTATGAGCCTGCTGGTTCCTTTGGTTACTGGTTTTGCAGGTCAGCTCCTGTGCGCCACTGCCGGGGAGCGGAGGATGCTATCGCCTCCCTTTTACAGCTGCTAAGCTGCAGCCTCCGCCACGTCCGGGACCGCGCACTGCTGTTATCCACCAAAACGCTGTTTTCTGGTGGCCTAAAGCTTAGCAGAGGCTTATTTCCTACCAGGAATATAGTGAGGTAGTGATGTGAGTCACAGAAATGCCATCCAGCTTTCAGATTTATTTTCAGTTTTCAAGGACTAGCAGTTGGCATCCACCTCGTACAGGTTATTCTGTGTTAATCCTGCCCACGTGACAAGCAGTCCTCTAGCTAACAGCAGTTCTGCACGGCGCTAAATCAAGCCCAGCCAATTAATTGTCCCCAATTTAAAGCTGGGAAGCTGGTATTACTTTGTTAGAGAGCTGAGGGATGAAACTGAAGGCTCCTCCGCTGCACAGAGGTTTGGAAATGATAATCTGATGTTCCTCATATGAGATCTGATAGGTCTTGTTCACCTTGAATTTTGGAAGCAGAAGACAATTGTGTTTTTGAGTCTGCTTTGGATAAAAGGCAATAATTGTTAGTAGATATAAAGTCAGAGACACGGAGGAAAAGGAACTGACAGAACTCAGAAGGTGAAACTGGTAGTTGTGTAACTCGTCCTGAGTAGGATCGGTAATGGGATGTGTTGCTGGAGTAACTGGTTTGTTCTGGGACCGACTTCTGCATGAGCATAACGTAACTAAGAGGCAGGCCTAGTCAGGGCTTGAGATCTGAACAGTTTTTGAGCCCACGCGTTATGATGCAAAATGCAAATCACTGGCCTTGAGACCTAACCCAGTATCCCTAGAGGCGACACTCAAGCTCTGGACTCAAATTTTAAGCTTTACAACGTTTATATATGGAAGCAAAGTGGTGTAAGATACCTTCTGGAATTCTTAAACTAGGTAAGCGATCACGTTGTCAAAGGACGTGTTATTGATAATGACCTTTCTCACCTTAGCTCTACACAGATAGTAAAGGTGTTGTTGTTTTCATATCGTGTATTTTAGGTTGCTGTTGTTGCAAAACTAGATCCAGCTAGAGCAGTGTCTGATACAGTGGCATCTAAAGCTCGGATGGGTGTTGGAACTGAAGAAGAATTTGTTCTTCAAAAGCCACTATTTAAATTGCATACATACAATGAACAACAGGTGATTGTCTATAATCGTACTATATAGTTTATTGTATGCAAATATGTCGTAATAGTAATATGATAGTAATATTATCAATATATGCTAAATAGCTAAATTAACAGTAGAATAAAAAATAAAATGTATGTAAAAATAAGCACACTTGGCGTAATGGGCAGGGTAAGCTGTGTGACCCCGTGCTGGGGCTGAGCTCCTGCGCCGTTCCTGAGCAGCATCTCCCGGTGCCACCTCCGGAGACGGAAAACCCGGCTGGACGGGCACCAGGGCTGAGCTGGTCCGGCATTTCCTGCGGCCATTAGCTAGTTTGAGTCATCTCTCTGCTGTTATTTCATTTCAAAACCGATCTCTTTTACATTTTTATGAATTTATTTAGAAGTGCCTCCTCCTCACCTGCTGCAGTGTTTGAAGCGAACTGCCCCAACATAAAACTCCTCCTGCCTGTTCATGAAAGAGCTGTATCGAGAAAAACTTAATTATAGGGTGGAGGAGTATTCTTTCTTAGAAGACTGTACACAACACAAATCTCTTCATAAGCTGAAAATTAGTGCCTGACTATCTTTACACTGTTGCTGAACTGAAGATCAGTTGGCATTTCATATGCAAGGGCTGAAGGGGAAGAGACCAGTCGGGTGTGAAGAAGGCAGGAAATTGAAGTGACTGCACTCCCGTTCCCAGGTCGTTCCGATTGCTGAGGGCAGTGCTGGCTCTATGTACAATCGAATTAAGCGACATAGAGAAGGATTTTTTGACTCGTTGTTCCACGTTGGCTAAATCTATGTATTTGAAATTATTCCCATGCTGGAATCCGGAAAGTGTATTTACAAAAACAGGAATGCTGTTGATATAGTTCTGTGGCATAAAAGCTTTATTTTAGCACTGAATAGACTGAAAAATAAATGATGTCTATAACTAAGATTTTCCAGCACTTCCCATTGTAACAGTTGTGCTAAACTGAGACATTGTAAAGCTTCCTGGTTTGGTAAAAGAGAGACATGCTGCAAGGGATGTAGTTTTTGCTTGGCTATAGAAATTTATCTAAATCTGACTGATGTATGAGCTTTTGAAAAGTCTTGAGCTTTTGAAAAGTCTTAAGCTTTCAAATGCTCTGAAAATGCCTGTTTGAGTTTGGTACCTGAATTCTTAGAACATTGTGCATGTTTCACCCCCAACAGTTTTTTTTCCTGCTGCCTGGACTGCAATGCGTGACTCCTGCCAGGCGTGATAGCGTGCTCTGTCCCATGGCTGCAGAGGTTTTATGGATAGCGTTCCCTGTGCCCGGCCTTCCTGGCAGCGCTGCGCACTGCGGCAGGTGATGCCAGAAGCAGAAGCTGTTACGACTGGTCTCCTTGTTCTTTCAGTGCCGCCCCACGGTAGCCCATGCAAGAAGGGGGTGAAAGAAAGAGCCAAACAGGGCTCCGGGCAAACTTTGTCAAATACTTTTTGATAAATTTTAGAATTAATTTATTTCCTTGGGCCTAGTTATTATGTAAAGGGAAGTGGTACTACCACGTAGCTGTAGAGCAGTGCTGCGAAAAGAAATCACAAATGTATTTGAAACTCGGATTCTGCGGACACAAACAGGAGATGAAGCGTCTTGTGCTGAAAGCAGGCTTTGGTGAGGGGGTCCCTTAGAGAAGCGTGCAGCTCTTCAGTGAGTAGGCTGCAGCAAAGTCACTCACTTCCTCATCTGCCTTTAGACGTTCGCAGAGGAACGGCAACGCGGGTTCTTTGTTAAAACAGTTTGTGACCGTTAATATTAAAAAAGGTGATATTGAAATATGTGTGATGAGATAGGGTTAGTCACTGTAGATTTTCTCTACTTTTGAAGGCTTTATTTTATAAGCAGAATTTTTAAACTCTTGTAAAACTCTTAATGCATATGCTCAGAAATGATCTGTAAGATACACTGTGTGTATGAGGAAATTATTGTTTTGTTTCTGTTCATTGTTGCTGTGGTTTATTTTAACAGATCATTTCAGACCCTAGGCTTCGTGTTGAGCTAGCTCTTCGAGAAGCTGGACTTCATAAAACACTTTACGCAAAAGAGATTTTACCAAAAATTCCTCCGCTGAAGCTTCCAAGAAGAGATATGGAATCTACAGCTTTTAAAATGTAGAGGACGTCTCACCTATCGAGAGCTGAGAGGATCCTGGGGTACGGTCTTGGCTCTTCTGTGAAAACTTGTAATAAACTTTCCATAGGCTGTTTCATGGAACTACTGTTTCTGCACTCATCTTAAAAAAAACCGTTTGCGTTTCCTGTGCGGCGCTCAGCGCACCATTTTACACTCCCCCACAATCCTGAGCAAAGCTTCATAATGCCGTATTCTTTAGGAACACAATATACTGAAATTGTAATTTAATGGTCTCAAGTCGAATCGAACCCCTTCAACAAAGCTACTGGAAGACTGGGCGTGGAGGGAGCCCCTGTCAAGATTTATACACGGTTTATTCCGAGGTTTTTTCCTAGCAATGTTTTCCACAGCCCTGCTCTGGATCGGGTGGAGCTGGTGTTTTATGAGGGCCGGGGGCTGCCAATTCCTGAGGCTCGCCTCCTTACTCCTTGGAGCTACGTGGCCAGAAGACGTTTGCCCAAGAAATCCTATCACCCCGTTCGCTGCCGTGGTGGAGGTTCGGTGGAGGGTCTGTGGGCTCAGGCTGTTGTGGTATAACGCTGCAGAACTTGCAGTGTCCTTTTCCACTGGAAGGCAGGACATCTGTGCATGAAAGACTCCCACAGAAATTACAGCCAATCTGATAAATAACGTTTTGAGTAGGCGCTCTGTTTGTTTTGTAATTGGCAACATAAATCCAAAATAACTTTGCAGAATGGTCATTTTAGATTATGTTATGGTATACAAATGCATCCCATATAACTTTCATTCCAGGTTGCTTGAGAATTTTATTTTTTTAATTATAAAATCCTCATTATCATGAATGCTTCTATTATTCCTTGATTATTATAAGAAGAAACTTAACCTTTGTCTATATTTAGAAACCAATTTGTTGCATCATGTTTACTGCAAACCAATCACTCAAACAATTTCATACTGCAAATTAGTCTTTCAGAATAAACTATAAAATCAGAAATAGCATTTCAGCTCTGGGATCTTTATTTTGCAGCTGAAAACCACTGAATATGATTCAATTAAATGAAAGGAAAATTGATGTCATTTTATTTTGTAACTGATTACGTTTCAAGCCCTGCATAAGAGGAGTGTAAAATGGATGTAAACAAGATAAATTTAGCAGTTTAACCACAAATTTCTAAGGGCAATAAATAACAGAAGGATCTGAACATCCATGTTAGTGTATCTAGGTAATGATAGGAACTTCGTTAGTGGGATATCGCGATGTGTTGTCTTGGTCGTTGGATCACGTACGTGAACTGTCCTGCGAGGCAGGCGGCGCCTCCTCGTTACCTGGTGGAGAGCCTGGGGATGGGGCAGGTGGTGGCCCTCTCTCTGCTCTGCCAACGGAGCCTTTAGTGCAGGCACGGCACGCGCCAGGAGGGACGTTTTACTGCTAGCCGTTATATACCACCTTCTTAAATGGCTGGACAAAGCGCCCCGAGCTGCCGACACGCGCAGCCCTTTGCCCCACGTGCCGGCCAGCAGCGTCCAGCGATGTGAGTTTTTCACAGCTCATGCTGATGGCAACGTTGATAACGATTTTTCGGCTGAGGTCTGATCCGAGCGAGTGTCTCTGAGTGTCTGGGGAGGGAGGGTGACGCTGGCCTGCGTGTTTGAGGGCACAAACTCATAAGCGGACGGAGAAGGCAAGAAGGGTGCCAGACAGACCAAGGGGAGAACCTGTGTAACAGACTGGAGAGCAAGGGAAGTTCAAGACCAAGAAAGTGGAGATACTTATAGGAACACATGTTTTCATCACAAATGCTTTCTATGTTTGTAAGAAAGAATTAGAAAAATTAAAGTTATTTTTGTAGAAAGACATATGAAATTGCTTGCATATAAAAATATTTATTTAGAGCATGTTTCTTGAGATTTTTTTCTATTGGAAATACACTTCTCAACCACTGTGTGTTGTGGTGCTCCTGCTCTGCTATGTTGCACTTGGTAAGGATAGCACTTCTGAGTCTTAGCTATCCTTCATGCAGATATATGACGTGTATGGAGTTTGGCTAATGGTCTGATTTTTTTTAAAGCCTGAGAACAATTTCTTCATGAAACTGAAGTCTTTCACTTTTAGGCTATACTATACATCTATGAATTCTGGTAATCAGAACAGTAGCTTAGCTGCTAACTCGCACTTCAAAGTCAAACATCCAGTGGGGGAGTTGGGGCGTGCAAGATCTGTTCTGCAAACATATGTGCCCATAATGCTTATGTGCCTGTAAGCTTATGTTCACATTCTCCGAAGCTGGTACCGTTTAGAGAAAAAGAAGAAAATGCGAGTGATTGCAATGCCAGTTCTGGTCCCTCTAAAAACAGAGGGGCTTTTGCAGTGGTGGTGAATGTTCTGAAAACAAGCTCACCAAGGACACAGGTTTTGAGCTCTGTAAACTATTAACTGACTAATCTGAAACCCTTAAAGAGGGTTAACTTAAAATGTGCAACAGAAAAATCATTTAACAACGTAATCGTTAAGTTAAAAGAAGAATAAGAGTTTCTTAACTGCATAATGTTCCAGAAAATAAAGCATTCACTATCTCCTGCAAAGTTAATGATCTGCAGTACTGTTAGCTACAGTGGAGCAAATGTCACCTATCAAATCAGGCAAAATGTTAATGCACTGAGTTTCTTTTACTAGAGTGGTTATAAACTATTTTCACAAAGAACTTGTGGTACCTGTTGCTCTTATAGAAGTATATAGTACAGGAGGTTCTCGAACGAGACCTCAGGCTTTGCAGAACTGAGGTTGAACGGTAAGTTGGGTTATATGTAAGAAGTGATTGAAATGAATTTATTTTGATTCTGAACGGATATTGGTTCCTGTCCCAGGGTTCCTCCCCCTTCAGGTCGCTGTTTGGCCTATAAAATCCGGGAACGGAAGCGAGGAACAGGTCTCCTTCTCCTGTGGACGGTGGGAGTTCACGTTTTCCCAGGAGCAGACTGAAACGCACCACAGCTGTCAGTGTCTTGAAACTCCTCCTCAGAATTAACGTGAATTTTAATTAAATTTATTTTAATGAAATCATCGGATTTGCCGGAGAGACTACAAAAATATTCAGAAAGAACACGTACGAAAGGGCACTACTTGAGCCCCGTTGAGTTGAGCGTTGTCCGTTGCACTTTCCTTTGCGGCTTTGGTGGCGACTCAGGGTCGGAGGGCCGTAGCTGGAGCGCTGGCGCGCCCGGTCAGCTCGCGCTGCCGAGAGCCG